TGTGTGTGTGTGTGTGTGTGTGTGTGTGTGTGTGTGTGTGTGTGTGGTGCAGTTTATAATGTCAACATAAACCACAGTATCTACCTGGTTTCCAGGTTTCCAGGTCAGATAGTTTATCATTTTATTCCACTTCATTTAGTTTGTGGAAAGACAGTTAAGTTGACGTGTGAACACACTTGAGTCTGTTAACGGGGAGATAAGCCTGAAGATGAAAACTTTAAAACAACGTATTGTTAAAACCAACATCATTTAAATTGAAACACATTGATGCAGGTGTTAAAGCCGATGGTTCAATGTTATTGTGCAGATGTTACTATTTGTGAGCGCTTGATTTATAACTGCAGTTGTGTTGAGTACAATAGAGCAGTAAAGGCTTTAAACTACTCTAAAGCGAGATGAGTTGATTATTATTCATTCTGTGATCAAACTTAAGCTCCAAGATCACAATGATTGGCTTTTAAATTTTCTCTACTCAGCGGAATGACTTTTATATTTCTTATTAATGAGTGATCATACTTTTGATTAACGATTAATAGGGATGAACGTACGGATCCATTTCGTAGAGGCGTTCAGTATTGACAGATTGCGTACATCTGGATTTTATGCATAATTACGTTATTAATTATCTTTATTGGTATTTGCTTTATAACAACCAGGCTTGACCAAACATTATTATACTTTAACTGCTGTGTGGGGGTGTGGCTTTGTCACAAAGAGTTGTCGGCTGTCGGAGAGCTTCAATACAAATTTCATTGTTCATCCTGCGCTCTTATTAATTTTCATGCTGCGGTAACTTTGTGATCTGAAACAACTTGCCAGGTTTAGCGGCTCCTTGGCGGTTTGTTCTTCACAGGAGAACAGGATGCATCTCAGTGGGGCTGTTTTGGTGGGAAATGAACACATTAATGTCTTTTTAAGATATTTCTACCTGTTTGACTGATGACCGTGTGGCATCACCTGTGTGTGTGTGTGTGTGTGTGTGTGTGTGTGTGTGTGTCGGTTGTGTCTTTGCACTGGCCTTTTGTCAACACTGACACAGTACGGTATGTTTAGCTGCTGGGGGTGGGCTGTCCCACATACCGCCCCAGTTAATCGTTTGTTTGTGTTTTTAAACTGATCTCAGAACAGCAGATTATACCCTGCGATGCACCCGGGGGGGGGGGGGGGGGG